TCACGTTTAAAATTAAATTTATAACTATTTAAATTAGAAAAAACTAATGGAAAGATTAATGAATTATGAAATGAATGAAATTTAACACTTGAAGGTTCTCACTCAGAAGAAATAAAGTTATACAAGATCCATAAAATATTCTTATTTCTTATTTTCACTCGTCTGTTGTAATTATTGACACAAGAGGGCCGGCGAGAGGGAGAAAACTTCGGAACTCATAACGATTCCCACCTTTGTAAAATCAAGGTTATTTTCACTAAGAGAAAATGAAATCTTTAAGTCTGTTTTTTTATTAATAAAGAAGTATTCTACGTATTTCATTTGTTCATATCAAATAAGAAAAGGCTAAAACGGGCCACTAAGAAGCAAAAGGGCACATTCTTAACCTCGGATATCATACAAGCTCTCGACGGCTCTAGTATCAATACTTCCTGTTTCATTTTACAATTTTATCACTGATGTGTCTTATAAACTGTTGTTATGTACTTGAACAATTTTTTTTCTTGTTTTGTAGTTTCAAATAGTATCTTTTGTATGTTATTTAGGCTTCTTGCTGTGGTATGGTTTTCGCAGTATTAAATTAATTAACACTTACCAAAACTCTTTTCTTCTGTGACTACTTCATTCTTTTTCTCTCAAAAAGAAGCACGTTCTCTAAACTTTCTCTTATTATTCTCATCGTTTTTTATATTTTTTTGAGGTTTCTTGTTTTTCGAATTTTCTTTCCAATATAATTTGAATATTAAGCTACTAGATCTCCGAAACAAAGAGTTCTTCCTGTTTAATTAGGAATCCTTACCCGAAAAGAATTATTAGCAGAAACAAAAGAAATAAGAAGGTTAAAAAAATTTACGAATAATATAGTAAAAATAACGAGATAAAAGTAGAATGTTCGCACGACAGCCACTTCCAAAACAAATTGAATCACTCTTTCGCCATTTTGTTCGTGGACACTTAATAGTTAATGCCCTTGTTCGTGGGAGTTAATAAAAATCGAACGGCAATTTTCTAATATGTTAATTAAATTTTAAATCCATATTTTATTCTAAAATCGTCCAAAAACTGAAGATACCAATATATAAACAAAAGAAATACTTTTATCTTATTTATCTCCTAAAAGTTTAACATTTCTGTAATATTTTTTTCTAAATTAAATCATAAATGACTTTGAATTTATAATTTTCAAGTAATGTTTATTTGACTTCAGCTTTTCACAATCATAAGACTTGAGCCCACCAGTGGTCGAGTGAGAAAATACTGTACTTAAAATATAGCATGTTCGCGCTTCACTAGGAGGCAAGAGTTTTCCGTGTTTTCTTCATGTGTATAACACCTAAATTGAGGCCAGTTTGTCCTCCTGGGAGGCACTTTCCTTGGCATATCCCCAACTGGTTGCGTTACCTTATTTCAATAATTACTATCACCCATTGAACGCTAATAAACCAAATATCACTTTCGTATTATCTGTATAAATATCGTTGATTTTCACATTTTCTTTTTCTTTTCTTTCTTTCTTCTTGTGTTTTCTTTTCTTTCTTTTTTTTCTTGTTATTTTTGGAACATCTTATAAATCTTTAAATTGTAGTTAATTGCAAAATTGGCATATATGAACTTTATCATTATGAATTTAAAACTGTTTACTGTTTCAAGAAATCAATAGAATATTATTTATATATACGATAAATATTTAGTTATATTGTACTGAGAAATTAATATTGTTCATAATTAATTTGCCTCATGTGAAGTGACTTTATAATTAAAATATTTCAATAAAGTGTTCGTTGTTTCAATTAAAATTAATATTTACAAGGTTTCTATTTTATAAAAATCGTCATATTTTTATTTATTCATGAATTATAATTGTAGAACATTTCTTCAATTTGTTGGGCAATTATATGCAGTGTAAAACAAATATTTTGATGAAGTTGTCATCAATTTTGAGTAAAATCCTCTAGAGGAAACGTGACTACGGTCTTATCACCCTGAGAAAAGTGTTTTTTTTTTTTTTTTCTAGGTATGCGCGTACATTGGAGATAATATATCGTACGAGGATGGCCCATCTTGGCCAAAATGCTCCTTAAGCCATTAAAAATCAACCACCCAACAATCGTACAAGGTAAGTCTTTTATCTATTTTTATTTTATTAGCAGAAGCATTTATAATTACATGCTTTATTATTCATGAATTTTAGCACAAATTGTATATGTTTAGCTAAATTTTGAGGATTTTTTTAGTTTATTAATGCTTCGCATTAAAAATTCATTCTAAAATTGAAAATCTAATGGGATTTTGATAGAAATATTATCGCACTGTATAATATATGAACTTATCTCCTAATGATTCAATTATGTCTATTAATTATGAGAGACCTTTAAAATCAGGATTAAATAACGTCTGTGTGGAAAATAACGTCCATGTGTGAGAGATTATTTTATGCAAACGATTCGGCATGCTCGTAGGCAGTCCATGGACTGCCTAAGAGCCAGTTTAAACTGCTTTAAACCAGTTTAAACAGTTCTACGAGCCAGTTTAAAGCGTCAGTCTACTGTTCTGGAGGGATCGGGAATGAATCCGAGCGAGCAACTCTCCAGGAATTTTTTAGGGTGGTCTGTTTCGAATATGTCGGGCCATGTACTCATTACCCACTGTAAGCATGGCTGAACCCGAAACTGGCCTGAAAAAAGGTCCTTTTATGTCCAAAGGGCGACTAATCGATATATATATTTACATATTATTTATCTATTACTCAATTTTCGTATAGGTTTAATTGATATAAAGGATAGCATCCCTATTTTGCGAGGTTTAAGTGCAGGAATCTTTCAAGACGTCCCGGGCCTCTCCAGTCCTAACCCTGACCAACTCGGACCCTGCGCAAATGCACAATTCATACTCATGATTCATATACACTTTTTATGAATTTTGCTTGAATATTTTTTGTCTTTAGTATATTGGTACATTAAGAAAATTCTAACATATTAGTAAATTAAATGAAATAACAAACGCAGTCAATTTAACGAATTAGAACATATATTACAGAATTTCTAATAATAAATATAAAAAAGTATTATTATTAAATTTTACTATTTTAATTTTTAACTACGTTAAATTTTCCAAAATTATAAAGATAAATTTTAAGATCTTAATTTCAAAAATAATCTTTAAAATTTACGAAGGTCAAGGAAACAGGAGAGGAAATGTAAATAAAAAAAGAAAAAGCTAAATATAGATAAGCTATTCCAAGAACTAAGTTTTTAACTGATAATTTTACCAAAAAATTTTGCTTCTAATTAGTATAAACCATACAAAAACAGTTAAAAATCTTATAAAACATAATTTTAAATTAAAAATTTTAATTGCTTTTCATCACATTTTCTCTTTTGTCTTTCATTTCTCTTCTCCTTTATTTTATATTGCGCTTCAAAAGGTTTTCATACACCATATATCAATTTTATTTATATTTTCTAATAATTTACAGTAATTTATTTTTATGTTGTTCATCAGCTGCCACTTTTTAAAAATCTTTCTGCTGGGTATACAAAAGGAGCCAACAGGTTCCCTCAGTATACATAGCAGAAAGATTTTTAGAATATTAAAGAGAGTATTAAAAATCGATCCCATAATAAGTTTTGTCATGCCCACAATGGAGTGGCCAGTTTCCCATAGAAAGTCCTCTGGGGAGACATACTTCTTGAAAGAACGTCAATATTACATTGTCGTATCTCGTAAAACCAAATTAAATTAAATCTTTTAAACATGAGTATTAGGGTTTCTCATTTCCCGGTATTTTGCTTGTCCCGGGATAGAATTAATTATTTTTAAGGTATACAAAATATCTTGAAATCAAATGGTACTTAAAATATAGCATGTTCGCGCTTCACTAGGAGGCAAGAGTTTTCCGTGTTTTCTTCATGTGTATAACACCTAAATTGAGGCCAGTTTGTCCTCCTGGGAGGCACTTTCCTTGGCATATCCCCAACTGGTTGCGTTACCTTATTTCAATAATTACTATCACCCATTGAACGCTAATAAACCAAATATCACTTTCGTATTATCTGTATAAATATCGTTGATTTTCACATTTTCTTTTTCTTTTCTTTCTTTCTTCTTGTGTTTTCTTTTCTTTCTTTTTTTTCTTGTTATTTTTGGAACATCTTATAAATCTTTAAATTGTAGTTAATTGCAAAATTGGCATATATGAACTTTATCATTATGAATTTAAAACTGTTTACTGTTTCAAGAAATCAATAGAATATTATTTATATATACGATAAATATTTAGTTATATTGTACTGAGAAATTAATATTGTTCATAATTAATTTGCCTCATGTGAAGTGACTTTATAATTAAAATATTTCAATAAAGTGTTCGTTGTTTCAATTAAAATTAATATTTACAAGGTTTCTATTTTATAAAAATCGTCATATTTTTATTTATTCATGAATTATAATTGTAGAACATTTCTTCAATTTGTTGGGCAATTATATGCAGTGTAAAACAAATATTTTGATGAAGTTGTCATCAATTTTGAGTAAAATCCTCTAGAGGAAACGTGACTACGGTCTTATCACCCTGAGAAAAGTGTTTTTTTTTTTTTTTTCTAGGTANTTTTTATAGTCATGCCACAAATAAGCTATATATTGATTATTGACCATTTGTGACATGCTATAACGAGCAAAAATTTAAAAAAACTAATAGGTAGGTTTAAAATTAATAAATACAAATGTATTCTGGAAGTGAATGAGTTAATTATGCTTTCTATTTGCAAAACTCCCCAACCTTAACAAAAAATAACAAAAAAAGTGAATTTTTAAGAAATTTGCGGGATTTCCCGGGATAAGAAAAATTTCCCGGGATATTTCCCGGGTTAAAAAAACAACCGGGATCCCGGGATCCCGTTTCAGAAACCCTAATGAGTATCACACAATTCACCTCATATTTCATTTATAATTTGTGAATGTTTAAAAAAATTCGTTTTTTAAATTTTATTTATTGTACAGCCATATAATTCTTACTTTAATACCAATTTGGAAATACGAGGCCTATATTGCGCTTACACAAGAAATTGCGAGTTCGATTTCTGATGTATTTTGTCTTTCTTCCTTTCAGATATTTCTTCCGAGTATTTTCTAGGCGGAAATTGAATTTAAAAAACCAACAGCGATATCATCTATTTAATCTTAAGCTTTATTTATTCAAATTGTTCATTAGAATGTTTCATTAGAAAATTTCGTTGGCAGGATTCCATAAAGAGCCAAATTATTAAATGCAGTAACACTGAAGAAAAATGATGAAAATAATGAATAAAATAAAGTTTAAAATATAACCTTCTGTAAAATTCTGCAAATAAATAAATAAAATTATATATTTTTCTTTAGCAAACATTAAATAAATTTGATTTATTTTGAATATTCTTACAGTTAAACTACTCATAATTGTACTCTTGCTTTCTGAAATTAATATTTTCTTTAGACTAAAAATAAACGAACTCTTTTTAAATACATTTTATAACAAATAAATGGTAAATAAAAATAGAATTTACTATTTGTCTAAACTTTCGGACGAATTGTCAAACAGTTCATTTATATCTTCTTCGGTAAGATTTATATTATCTACAGCAGTAAATAGCGCAAAAAATTGTACGTTCTTCGCGCTTTTTCTATCTAAAAAACATGTCATTAATTAAAATATTTGATATAATATTGTAAGAAACTTGAAACACGATAGAAGTTCATTAATTCGCCATCTAAAAGACCAAATCCAAAAATGTCGGATTACCAGACATTTTTGTATTTTTGCAAAATTTAATAAGCTACGTGCGACTTTGAATGTTGCAAAAATTGCTACAAATTTTGTATCATGCACTCCGTTATATCCTTCCGATTTTTTATGCACGCTATTTATGATACAGTGCTTTTTTTCGTTTTTAATAAGTTAGCTTAATCTTTTCCACCTATAAAACTTTTCCACTTTGTTGGCAATTATTGAAATTAGCCTAATTAAAAAGGGGGCCTTTTTACCCATAGGCATTGTGGGTTCGGCCAGGCCCATGGTGGGACGGCAGGGTAGCGAGAGAGGAACTCAACATATTTAGAACAAATCACCTAAGAACAATTTCAGGAGAGTTGCTCACCCGGATTCGACTCGGATTACTAGAAATTTAGGGTTACTACGTATTAAATTAACAAACTTCTACTTTAACTGAATAACATACTTGGTGACAACATGACATTTATATTTGCATTCGAACCTTTCTTGCCAAGAACTCCTGTTTGTGGCTTGATTTTGAAAGCCGGATCACTACATTTTATCTAAATTTTTAAAGAATTTTAAATAAAAAACAATAATAAAACACGATTAAGTGGAAAAAATTATACCATACCTTAAAGGCAAGAGCAGAAGATATATTACTACGAATAGTAAAAGATCCTTTTTTTCCACTGGGATCGTTGTGAAGAATAATGTCTGCTGGACTATAAAATTTATTAAACTTAGAACTTTTTCAAGATCTTTGCACAAATTTATAAGATAAATTCTCTATTACAGACCTGAAATCCTTTTCGTCTTCAGTTTTAAAACGTTTCGTTGCCATATTTAAAATATTCAAATAGTCTTTGAAATCTTGAATAAAAATTTTCACAAATAAAAACACTTCTTTTATATGCAATTTTAATGAATTATGGCAGATAATCTAATCTTTTTTGTTATCAGACAAAAACATTATTCACAACAATAGTAATTTTCTAATTTGCCATTATTACTTAATAAAATCAAAACTGTTTATTATATACTTTATTAAATATTATTTTATGTCACGTATTTTAAAATGAAATCATCGAGGTAGTTAAGGCGTCATCGATTATTTCATTTTAAAACTCCGAAAGAACCGGAATCGAATCAAGGAGGGATAATAGAAACACAGGAAATTTTCGGAGATGATCTATCCCTGAAATATTGGGCCCTATCCCTGACCATACGGTTGGTTCGGTGGGCCTGACCTAATCATCATCACATTGATGGTGCTGGCCGAATCGACGATGGATATGATTAGAAAAGTCATCTTGGTGCCCACTAATAACAGATCTAGAAATCTTTAGAAGGTGCAGAAAGGAAACAATCTGTCTTATAAAATTTTTTACTGCCTGAGGTGCAGATTTACTGGAAAGGTCTCAGAAAGAGGTGGAGCTGCACCCTACGACCCCCTAAATTTGTTCCTGTTATTTACAAGATAGAAAGAGTCAAAAATTAAAAACACAAGTGATTATTTTAATGGGACGAATGTGTATGTAATCTTAATTTAAATATTTAAAGTTTTAATCTTGTAATTACTTTAATGAACAAAATATAACATTTTATGCATAATTTCTTTCGAAAAATGTCTGCATGTAACTTATTAATACAGTATAGTAATACCGGTAAAATAAATAAGTAATAATACAAAATTAATTATAGTTCGGTAATTTCTAATTGAATGCAAATAATTTTTTTCGAATTCATTTAACATTCGATTTAAAGCATTCCAGAAATTTCATTTCAGATGAAGAAAGAATTTTACCTTCCAAATTATTTTACCGAAGATTTAAAGATAGTGTTTAAAAATGCAGAAAATGTCTCCTTTCTGCAAAATAGATGCGGTTGACTTCCGATGATGGAATCCAAAATATGGCAATCCAAGGACGGGAGATGGAAACGAAGATGGTCACGAGACACACATGCAACAATTGGTCCGACACTTGGAATTTTCGGGAGAAGAAGCTGTCACGCATTCCCAGGCTTTTATTCATTTCTATCCTCGATCGCCTATTACGATTTGTCGCTTTTTCCTCTATTTTAAGAATTATCCTAATTGTTGTAAATATGTTCTGATTACAATTAAATTGTTCCATTCCTAATATAATTTTTTCCCGCTAGATTCGTGAAAACTTCTGTGCACTGGTTTCATATTAGAAAATTACTAACATATATATTAGTAGCCCTCTGTTCTATCTATAAAGAGATAACCCGACGCAGTAAGCACAGAATTCTAAGGAGTGAGAAAATTGTAGGGTTTTCGAAGAATCCTACAATTTGCTTACTTCTTAGAAATGAAAAAGACGCCATCGAGAGAAAATGGAGCCTCGGCCAAAACAACTTGAAAGGTTAGAAATCTAAAAAGCCTTCGGGAGAAGAACGGTAGTTAACTTCAAGGAGACAGACTCTATTTCGTCAGACTGGAGAACGTATAAAAAGTTATAAGTAAAGGTTTCTTCTTTCAATAGTGACACTAGTAATATTTATCACGTTTTTCTTAATTACGCACAATTAACAGAGACCAAGATAAAAACAGTTCTCTTTATTTCGCCTATTTAACGATGCATTTCGGATTGGTAATTTTCCAATCTCTCTTCGGGCTGACTGCTTCAGAGTCTGAAGTTGTTGTCTACAACATAACGAACAAAAGGTTAGTTCGTCTTAATATACTTTTGTTATCCACAATGATGAATATAGTGCACAATTTGTACACATCCTAATAGTGTAGTTTCTGTATATCAGTCTCTTGCATTTACTGCCATGTTTTCTTTGTCTATTTTTGATGGGAAAATGCAACGCTTCTTCCATTTCCCACAGTTATTAACTCCTTATTACCTCTTAGAAGGATTTTAATTTCAATATTGTAGTTCATAACATAACAAAGGTCAAAATGTAGTTTTTCATTGTGAATATTTTTACAAGTTGAAACCAAAGTTGCCACAAACTACGAGCAAATTATTTATTGTGACATCGTCACAATGCCGGGCTGTAATTTTTAATCATATTTTTAAGATTAACGTTTGTTCAATCTTTTCCTTTCTTCATCAAGTTTTTCTGTTAACTTTCCGTGTCCATACGAAAGAAATCTTCCAGATATTTAATGGCTTCCCAAGAACCAACTGCAGATACGACTAAAGAATTTCTTTCTGAACTTATAATGGTTAAAGATTTTAAATCGATCAACGAACATAAAATATTTCGCAAAGTATAAATTTTTTTATTCCTAAGTCCGGGAAGTATTTACCAGGGAGATTAATGGGTTGTAATTCTACTAGTTCATTTGATTGGTCGTACTGTTTAGTTTGGCAAAATACAGACGAATTGCCAGTTGTAGCCAAAACATTGTACATGTCTTTGACATAAGAAGAAACTCAAGCTAAATTTTTTGGAAGAGAAGAGTTATTTTAAAAAGTCCAAACATAAATTAGCAATACTTCTTTACATTTAATTCTGCGTCACCTGCTTCTCTTATAATTCTTCTGTAAAATGCAGTGAAAGTACTGTATTCTAAAAGTCAAAGTTCGTTTTCGGGTTTGAATTCTTCGTTTCTGCTCACCCAGTGACCAACTAATCTGTAAGCCGATGTTATTATATTTGAAGGAACAGAAAAGCTCGATAGATGAAGTTCGTTTTCACTGTCAAGTTTTAGACTTTTGTTTATTATCGATTGTAAATAATTGTCTAAAATTGTAATTATTGAAGTTTGACGTGTTTTTCTTTGTCCTGTTTTGCTTTTAAGTTAATGAAGTATTTTGAAACCATCCACGGAAAATTAAGAAATTGTGTAGAATTGCTATTGTATGTAATAGCGTACCATGCAGATGCTTTCTTCAATATATCGTCCAGTAAGTTCGGATCTATCTTTTCATTATCTGCTGAATTCCTGATGAAATTCTTTTCTAAAAAGTTTCTGCAATGTTTCTACAGTCTGAACAACGAGCTTTTCAGCGTCGAAAGCATCGTGTCTTTGGTAATGTCTTTCGTGAAGTCTGCGAAATGTACCAGAAATTGCCTCAGTTTCCGTTTGTACACCATATCTTTGCATCAAAATTTGAAAAAAAAAAATGATTGTAGTTTTGTCTGGAAATTCGTGCAGATTCTTCATACTCTTCCCAACCAGGATAAATTAAATCGTGATCAATCTAAAATATCGAATGGTCATTGTTAGAATTCATAATATAATTATATTAGATTGTATAAATCTTTCAAGAATTATTTTAATTTGCATATAAATAATTTTGATGTAATTATTGTATTACATAAAAATTGTTTTTGTGTTAAGCATTTTAATCTACGGTTATTTTTAGTTATTCACCTGTAATTCAACTGTTTCCTGTTGTACAGATGTAGTTTTCTGTTCAAATATTTCACAATTTTTGTATAAATCACTCAAAGCACGGTTTTAATAGGTTTCTCTGTCTATTCCTCTTTCCATAAAATCTGGATATTTTTGTGGTTTCTCCTCGATATTTAGGAATTCTATATAACCAGTCTTTGCATAATCTAATGCCAGAGAGAATTTTCGAGCAATCTCTTTGCATATTGGAACATGTAATACCACATTTATCCGAAATTGCCAAGTGGGCACTTCCGATTATACCAATCTGAGCATTTTTTATGCATTCTTTCAATTTCAATTTCTGTCGTATGTATCTATGAAATAAGGAATTTGAAATTATTTTCACTGAAAATTAAAATAAATTGCTTTTAATTGCTTACATCGAATATGGCATTCGACTGTTTTTCTTCATTGTGAGAAGAGAAATTTTCAGGTTCTCGGTTATGAGAAAAGAGAAAAATCTTTCCTCCAAATAATGGTGTATTCACCTCCATCGAGATCGGATCCTGTTAAAAAATAATATGAATTCATTATTACATTATTTCTTGTATAATACATAAAACTGAAGGAATTAAATGTAATCTCTCTCGTTAATCCACATTCACATTGGAGGCATCTAAAAATATTTAAAATTATCCTACGTTCGAATTATCAGAAGTGCGATGTAGGAAACATAATCATTATTTATAAGCAGAAGAAAAATATAGAATATTTATTGAGCTCATAAAAATTAAAACTATTCAAATTTATTAAAACAGTATGAAAGTGTTATAAAAGTGTTATAAAATATTAGAATTCTCCAATAAGGACAATTAATATTCAGGAACATTTCATTACAGATTGAAGTGACAGATAACTTCAGCTTGTTTATAATGTCAAGTCATCTTTTTTATATTAATATAATAAACCCGATGTGTACGCACGCTTAATGCAATTTATTTTTATTCAAATTATCCAAAAAGGCGTTCAAATTTCAAATTAATGTTTATCATTTAATGTTAATATCTACGGAGAAAGACAGTAAGCCTACATTCAAACTAACCAAAAAGTTAGATCATTCAACTTTGAATTAGTTTACTATAATTTAATAATTAATTAAAATTATTGGGCTGCTTATTATTTTAAATTATTATTTTGCTAATTCCAACTGAAAAGCAGTAAGGCTTCTCTGTAACAGGATTTATTCCAGCTTCAATATCATCCTCTGTGATAACGTAATGATGCTCTAAAGGAATCTCAACTGTGTCTTCTGTATGCGAAAAGCACTGTCCCAAACGAGCCATGTACAGTACTTGGATACGCTTTTGGTTATCGAGAAATCCCTCATCCATGCTCGAATAGTATCAGCATTATTTCCTTTATCGTCTACCACATATATCCATATACTATGATCTTTGATTTTAGAATTTGATCATGCCAAAAAATTTGTAATGTCTTGCGCATATTTTTATTCCTCCAATCATAGGCATCGTAACTGCAAATTCCAATAATGCATCATCGCTTTAATTTGCTGCTGCACTTAACTTTCTACCATCGTCATCTCGAAAAGATACTCAGAGTGCATAATCTGAATCAATATTTCTCAACATCCTGTTATTGAATTGGAATTCGGGAGGATAAAACAAAGTTGTTGTTGGAGTCAAAACTACTCTCCGAATCAATTTGGCATCAGAAGGCGTTGTATATTCGTTATCTTTTGTACAAACTTGATGTTCTGTTTGACAATACCAACGATACATTGATTCGATTGCGCGTGGATAGTGGCAGAGTACACCACGTTCTTGCAATTCTAATATACAGTATACAGTACTCCAACGCTTTCTCTAAGGAAATTGAATTTTCGTTGCATTGTTGTTCTATTTGATTAATTAAAGCTTTTCAATTTCCTCTAGTTTGTTCTTGTAAGATAAAATTTCTATTAAGTATAGAGTATAAGTTGTAGGTGCAATCGAAATTAATTAAATCCAAAGTGGGTAATAAATATTTTACAGTAACCAATTGTATGCAGCCATAGTGAATAGGCATTGCATTGTTACACGAGTGAAATCTGATAACTATTTCTTTAGCAAATTCTACATTTTGAATACGTAACATCAAGACTGTTGATTTGCCATGTACGTCTTTGTCGACAGAATTGAAGGTTAAAACTCTTCTGCCCCTAGAATACGCAATGGGAAGATATTTAACTTATAGGAAAAGTAAAGCAGTGTCTTTCTTTATATTTAATTCTGCTCTTTTTGCAGCAACAATAATTCTTTGCAATCCGGAAATAATTTAAAAAGGTAAAAGAAAAAGATTATATTTAATAAAAAAAGTCTCAAGGCCTACGAAGAGCTTAATGAGGCTCTGGAGATCACAACTTACTCCATTCGATATTGCGGAGAAACATTGTTTAATTACTAGATTTATTAATTACAAAAGTTTTTAGCAAATAGAGAAACAAATTAATAGCGTTGGGAAAAATCGACATACAGTAGAACCTCGATTATCCGGACCTCTATTATCCGGATTGTTCAAAATAAACAAAAATTTTACGAATTTGCTGATTTGCACTTGGCGAATTACGATACTGTTTACGTACGTAATGGAATGCATAATTTTTTTTTTATTTCAACAACGTCTCACCCGGCACAGTGGCCGTAAACTCTTAAATATATTTTACGTCGTAATAAAAATATAACTTGACATACGTACAGTATTTATAAATAATTTATATTCAAATTACATCATTTCTATGACCATGGGCGGCGTAAGGCATGGGCAACGTGGGCCACCGCCTATGCCTCGCGGTCCGAAGGGCCTCGCGCCTCGAAGGTTTATGCATTACTTAAAAGCCGAGAACGCGACGAAAAAATTTTTCTAGTCATAAAACGATAAATAGTTTATCAAACTTTTATTTATAAAAAGCAGTTTCAACTGCTTTTTATTTTATAAAATCCGTCTTCTTGAGCCACCAGAGGGTCTTTTAAACAATAGCTAGTCTGTTAGCGCTGGTCAGTAGTAGACCAAATTCGATACGAATGTTTGTTTCTTGAAAATTTGATCACGATTTAAATACAGTATTCATTTTTAATATTACCGATATGTCATCGAAAAGAAAACGTGTTGTATTATCATTAAGACAAATTAAAATATTTGTTTCGATTATCCGGATTTTTCCTTATCCGGACTACCTTCATCCCCAACTAGTCCGGATAATCGAGGTTCTACTGTAACTCTTTTTTCCTTTTTCTTTCAAACTCTTTGTCCTGTGGCAGTAAGAGGACCTTTTAACACACCCATCAAGAATTCGGCGGGACCACAATGGGAAGATCGAATAGTGAAAGACAGAAACCATCCTAATGGAGATGGACCTTTCATGAAAAATTCGTGAGGTTTTTCGAACTCCAAAAGTGCTAGACTAACGCCTTAACCGCTTCCGCCATCCAGCCGTTTACATACAGATTATATACCGTGTTTCCCCGAAAATAATCTTATATTAATTTTTGCTCTGAAAAATGCGCTAGGTCTTATTTTCAGGGAATGTCTTATTTTTTCCAGGAAGAAGAATTCACATTTATTATTGAACAAAAAAATTCCCAAGTCGAACTTAGACGAGAGTGACGTATACCCGTGTGTCGAACTGTCGCCTTTTTATAGCGTCAACATCGGACTCGATGACCAATTAGTGCTTACTGAACCGTAGCACTATGCAAATGTCATGTGGTGTGATTTCCGGCCGACCAATTAGCCATCACCAGCCGTAACGTTATGCAAATCTGTGATTCCCAAGCCATAGTCTTATGCAAATCATGCCGTGTGGCGTAATTGTCTGCTGACCAATCAGTGGCTGTACTTTCAAAGAGCCAACGGCCACTTTCAACCATCTGTTCATGACCGTTAGGACTAAAAAAAACTTCGCTAGGTCTTACTTTTAGGGGAAGGTCTTATATTTCGCAATTCAGCAAAATCTGTGCTAGGTCTTATTTTCTGCGGATGTCTTATTTTCGGGGAAACACGGTATTAATATTGACATTGCATTACGTTCATTAATTCGAAATTTTAAGACCAGTATCTTTAGTCAAACTTTTTATTAGAATATTCTAAGTTTATTATACCTGTTTTTACATTTAATTTCTAATCATTAACATTTGTACAAGAAGAAAGCTTAACAGTCTCCCATATTATATCAGAAGAAATCCCCGCCAAGTAAGAACATCACTGACTGATTATATATATAGGAATCAGAGTTGCCGTTTTCGGGTCGATTTCTCCGCCCCCAAACAACCGAAGTAATTCCTAATATCTGGTTCGAAAGAAAATTGTTTTCTTAGATAGTGTGCAAATGTTCAAGATTTTCTATAAAGCGGTTGTCGAAATATAAGCAATTGAAAATGGCAATTATTTTTTGTAACATCGTCACAATGCCGGGCTGCAATTTTTAATCAAATTTTTAATTTATTTAATTTAAAATATATGCTCGCCACCTCAAATTAGTAGTGTACCCCTGTACATACACTTTTCCTTAATACTAGAGTCGTGTCAGCCATTTATCTAACACCTTCCAGGAAAAAATTTTTGAATTGAAATAACATGACTTCCGGTTTGTATCGAACGTTCGAATATAGTTAATTGGGGCCTTCTGAGCCCTAAGGTTTCTAGAACTGGTCTCGGATTTCATCTATCTAATTCCGTTCTCGCGATTAAGAAGACAGACAGACAAACGGACAGTAGAAATTTATATGTCGGCAATTTTTTTTTTCAAATTGCAGCCCAACAAAAGTAAAGATTAATTAAATTAATACTTAAAAATACTTTCATTTACTTATTTTACGTATTTCCAATGAATTATAATCGAATGTTAAGATATAAAATTCGAAGAATGGCTGTTTGAATTTTAAATTACAATATTAGAACATTCGATTTTCAAACTTAAACAAATTAGTTCGGTCTTTCTCAGTCTTTCTTTAGAAATTTTCCCTCCCACGGACGGGTTTTTGTCAATATTTTTCTCTAATCTTCTCCAACAATATTTGAAATACCCCATTTCTGTTTTAAATAGACTTTTGTAAAACATGATTTCATTTAAAACAGCCTGGAAACAACAGCCTACTGTTTTTACACATTTTGTTTCGATATCGCACATTTCTATAAATTTGCCTTTTTAAAATATTCATTTGTTTTATAATTCTAAGAAGAATATACTTACAGTATTTCGTTTCCTATAAAATTGCTCTATTTTTCAAAAATAGTTTTTAGATTTTGCATTTAAGGCTGTGACATACGCTCCAGTACCGTTAAAGATTTGGAATTTTTTATTATTATTTGATTCTGTCCACTCCGTGGTCACCGAGAGCAGCTTTTCAATTATATCGAGTGAGGATTCGGCCAGGTCTGCAAAGGAACCGGTGAGAGTTATTTGCCCAAATTTGGTTTCTGATTCCACAAAGCGATAGGCTGATGTCTTAACCGCGAATCGTCTATAAATGTGTTAGAAATATGGAGAGTCACAGCAGTGACTTCGCTGCAAGTAAACATAGTCACTGACTGCCTATATATAAGAATACGGAAGTCAGAGTCGCAGATTTTAGGGGGTCGATTTCTCCGCTCCCCAAACGCCTAAAGTTATCCTGAATATTTCGTTCGAAAAATAATTATTTTCTTAGGTAGTGTGCAATATTTGAAGAATTTCTATAAAGGGATTGCCGAAATATAAGCAATCGGAAAGCGCAAAGTTTCGTTTTTGGAACAAAACGAACGGATTTTAAAAATTCGTTTGGTTTGGCACGCGCGTTTTTAAAATTTCTTTCGTCGTAAAATTCGAACGTCGTAAACCGTTACTGAATAAATGAATTTACTCTTTTTAAATTGTAAAATACAGATATATCCAAAAGAAGGTCGATTAAGAAGACCGAAAACGTTAACATAATAAACGCTCACTGCTTGATAAATGGTTGTGTATTGTGGTTAAAATGTAAACAATGTAGCTTATTAATAGACTACAACATAACACTTAATATAAAAACATAACATTATAATAAAACAAGAATTTAAACTTCATTCAAACGGTTTGGTATTCGAATTTTTCAACTCGATGACGTCACATTACGTTCAAAAATATATTCAAAATTACGATCTACTTAACAGTATGTTTCTTGTATATTCAAAATATTTTTATATTTTGAATATAATTAAAATACTTTTAATATTCGTACAATAATATTTTAAAATTTATATATACTGTACTCACCGGAAATAACTTTTATGCCTAAAGTGCGTCCTCTAGGCTTCGAAATATGCGATTCATTAACGATGCCCTCTACTAAGAACGTGACGTCATGGATTGTTTTGACGAATTTCGAGACAGTTGTTGACATATATGTATACTTACACTTTTTTTCCAGTTTTTTTATTTATACGGTGCAATGATATTAACAATATCTTTACAAAGACGATAAGGTTACAGAATAAAAACGGGAGCTCTCTATGTACAGTACAATACAAATGATTACAAAGGGGCGACAGCGTACACGATAATACGGGGCATATAGAACATGTAAGAAATATGTGAGGGATGTGACGGGTCTAGCTCTAAGTCCTAGAATGATAGGGAACGGTAGTTACTTGCTTTACATTTATTTATAAGTCTGATGAGGGCCTGATAGGTATTCTTATTGTTGAGCAGCATTTTCTAATCGCGTGGCAAGTGGTTGGAGTTTATTGCAGTCAGTTGCTTAACTTTCATCAACTCTGTTTCCAGATTGAGACAATTAAAATTATAGTCTATTAATCTGTGTCGTACAAATGGTGAATTTTCTATTATTGCTTCTTTTAAATCTTTTAATCAATAAAATAAATATGTATGGAAATTGTTTCCAGTAACGTGTATTAGAGAGAATGTAAAATAAGGTTCATTTATTTATTACACCAATTGTTAGTAAGGCCGAAAAGGCAAACTGTATATAAAATCATACACAGAAATTTTGTGTAGTTCTAAGTTTTTCTGGTAATTGGCATCGGTAAAAAATATATTTTGCACTTCGTTTGCATTATTTGTAAGAGGAGATCAATAAAAACAGAATAAAATTTTAAAAATTCATTGTGTATTTTAATATATGATGATCAATATCTTTAAAAATGATAAAATTACACACATTTTAAAAAATGATAAAATTAGAAAACAAGAAATCTTGTGTTAGATATAACGAAATAACGCGATAAAAATCGCTTAAAAGTATTATGACGGGAATTAGGAATTGCAATATAGAAGATAGAATACCAATGAGCAAAGTTACAAGGATTAATATATTGTACATATTGATTTTTAATGTTTGTGAAATCTTTCTTTGTAGCTTAACTGTATATTGAATCTAAATAAGTTCAGAATAAGTTTAATGCTTTTATGTATTGAAAGACTCTTGGAAATACCAATGATTAGATTTTCAAATATAAGTCATTCTGTTAACGATTTAAGTAGTTTATTCGATGAGTATACAGTAGACCCCTATAAAACGGGTTTCTATAATTACGATTCCTATAAAACTGCGAAAAATTGCGACGGTATCCGTAAAAAACGGTAAAAACTCCTATAATTACGTAAAACGTCATCGGGCAGCCGAACTATTTTCCGCTGTCAAGTGCCACGCTACGGAGAGATTACTATCGTCTGTACAGTATTATATATAAATTATATATAAATTAGGTACTGTACATATAATTATATATTAATTATATATAAATTAGGTACTGTATATATAATTATATATTAACTTAATTTATTGTAACTTTATTATAATTATATATATGCTTTCTGCCACCTGGCAACACGCTACGGAGATTTTAGGCTAGTAAGTTCAGTTTATTATCATCTGTACAGTATGTAAATTAGGTACCGTAAGTCTAATACAGCACTAATTTTATACATTTCTTGTGAAAGAAACACTTCTTATTCAACGGCCATAAAAATTATTTATATTAATGATGTCTCCAAAGGTCAAGTTATTTTTC